GTGCTGGAAGCCATGCAGTTCTAAGCAAAATCCTGAAGGAGCAGGACACAAAAGGCAAGTTAAAGTTGGCGCCAACCTTGCATTGATCAGTCCTACAAAGAAAGGAGCTGTCCCCAAGTACACCATTGTTTCAGTTGGCATTGCTTTGGTAGTTATTCACATTTTCATTAGGGGAGGGCAATTTCCCCCCAGACATGCTGCTGCAATTTTCTTATGTAGCTTTTCAATCCAATCAATATGTTTCTTTATGATGAAGATGTAGAAAGGCCACCAACTGGGTTGTGCTATTTTATTTTAATAAATAATGCTGCTTTATAATAGCAAATTTTAATGTTTCTAAGGAATAAATAAATGTCATCTAAGGGGCATAAAATAAACCAAGAATTTTAAAAAGTTTTCTGTTCATAGAAGTGAATATTTTTTTCCTTCAAGAGAGTTGTGTGCAACAGGGGACAAATGGTAGCAATGGGAGTAGGAAAGTTAATCAAAAAGGTAATCATGTGAATCCAGGCAGCATTGCCTCTGCAACGAGATACTAGTGTTTCCCATTGAAAAAGTATTCAGTGAGTTAGGGCACTGAGGTTTTCATCAGCTGAGTGTGCAGCCTCAGTAATGTAGAAATGCAGAGCACTCATTCGTATCATTTGAATGTGCATGTTTCAAGGCTTGATTTTTATTCATGTTTGTTTGATCGATTGTCGTTTTCTCTCATCCCTGTTCTCTAGATAAAATAGAAGGATAGCAAAGTCAAGAAATGCTTTTCCTTCTAGTCATTAAATTAGAGTAACAGCAGTGAGTTAGATACTCCTGTTATAAAGACCAGCCATAGATTTTTTCCAATAGAATTATTCAATCTCTTTTTGCTTTTTGCATGCTGAATTAATGACTGTTAACTACATTGATGTGGAGAATATTTGATATTTTGATGAGTAGTGTTGCAGTAATTTATCAAAATTATCATGCATGTGTATATATGGATGTAAGTGTGTGTGTGTGTGTGTGTGTGTGTTTGTGTGTGTGTGTTATATTTATGCATCATTATGCAGATTGTTTTAAGAAAAGGGAGCTTTGTAAGTAAACTCCTAACTGCTTTGGGGTACTGTGCTAAGCACTGGGGAAGGATTAAATGTAGAAGTCAAACTCAAAAATTTTACTGTTTAGGGAGAGACAATGGCACAAAAATAAATGTGATATATAGCAAAGTTTAAAAACTACCATATGAGAAGTACAGATAATCAGTGGTGAATAACATAAAGAGATTGTTTTCAGCAAAATAGCGTGCATAAAGGAATTACTGTAAACTTTGGTGTCCTGTTTAGTTTTCTGTCCCTGTAACAAGATACCTAAGACTGGGTAGTTTATAAAGAAAAGAAGTGTATTTATTATTGTTCTGGGGGTTGAGGAGCTGCATCTGGTGAGAGGCCTTCTTGCTGGTGCAGAGTCCCAAGGCAGCAAAGGATATCACATCGTGAGGGACTCACAGAAGACAGCCAAACTGGCCTGTACAATGGCCCACTTATATGTTAACCAACTCACTCTCTTGAAAATCCATTAATCCATTAATCCATGAATCTCTGAATTGATTAATTTTTCATGAGGGCAGAGCTTTTATAACCCAATCACCTATTAAAGATCTCATCTCTTAATACTGTTACATTGGTGATTAAGTTTCATCATGAGTTCAGGGGGGACCAATATTCAAATCATAGTGTCTGGCATAAAATAATGTGCTGCAATGAACAATATGTGTGCATGCATCTTAATAATGGCATGATTTATATGCCTTTGGGTATATACCCAGAAATGGGATTTCTGGGTCAAATAGTATTTCTGCCTCGATCTTTGAGGAATCAGCACACTGCCTTTCACAGTGGTTGAATTTACACTCCCACAAACAGTGGAAGAGTGTTCCTTTTTCTCAACAACCTCAAAAGCATCTGTTGTTTCTTGACTTTTAGTAATAGCCCTTCTGACTGGTGTGAGATGCTATCTGATTGTGGTTTTGATTTGTATTCTCTAATGATTAGTGGTGTTGAGCTTTTTAAAAATATGTTTGTTGGCTGCATGAATGTCTTCTTTTTAGCAGCATCTGTTCATGTTGCCCTTTGCTCACTTTTTAATGGGGGTTGTTTGTTTTTTTTCATTGTAAATTTAAGTACCTCGTAGATGCTGAATGTTAGACATTTGTCAGATGGATAGATTGCAAAAATGACTGCCATTCTGTAGGTTGTTTGTTCACTCTGATAATACTTTCTTTTGCTGTGTAGTTCTTTAGTTAATATTTTCAGGAGGTTAAAAGAGGATGAGGCTTGAGCAGGTTACTGATTTTACGAAGGAGATCGTTGTAATCCTTCAGGACAACTGCTTTGGTATGGTAAAGGCATAGACTAAAGTGTAAGAAACTTAAAATTAAATAGGAGCTGAAAAAAATGGAGCTGGCTAGATGTAGTTTACCTTTCTCTAAGGATATCTAATGATGAGACAAAGGAGAGAAGGTGGCAGCTTCTGGTGTAACTTTGCCTAAAAGTGGCACTGTCTTACAGACAACTTCCATTTATTTAAATACATAAATAGATTAGTAAGTAAGTAAATAATAGTGGTGCCTACCATTAAGACACAATGATAAGAGGGCTCATTCAATATAACAGATGCCACATTTGTGGGGGCTGGAAAGAAATTAGTAGGTTATGCAGAAAGCTAGGTGTTTTCAGGGTTAACAAAGTGGACTTGGATTTTTATACAAAGCTGTGCAGAGGAAGTCAAAAGGCACACAAATGTCTATAGGTACACATTTTAATACTGTAACTGTGGTTTTTTTGCATTTTTTCATTTTTTGTTCTTTTTTGCATTTATATATTGTAAATTTATATTCCATATTTCTAGAAGCATAGGTGTCCTATGGCAACAAGGTATTATGATTTTCTCCCATTTCATTTTCTTTTTAAATGTAATTATCAGCAGTAAGAATGCATCCAACAGACATGGAACATTGATTTTATTTTTCATTGATTGACTTTTTTTTTAGGTTAATATTGGGTATATAATATATGCTACGTAGGTGTCAGCCATTGTTAATTGTTGTCGTCATTATAGTTATTATCAGCGTGATTATTTGCTCTAAGGGGAACCCAGGCATTTGCAGGGCATGGGAAACCCTGAGCTGGGTCTCTACTCTTGGGTGTTATGTCCCCATCATGCCTTCAGGACAACCCAGGTCAGGTCAGGGGACTGCTGTGCACTCCTTTTCCAGCCACAAGCTGCTCTGAGCCCCCAGGGTCTTCAGTCCACGTGAGATATTCCCAGCAGACCATGGGCTGATAGGCCTGGGGCTAGCTGTTCCCTCCAGGGAGAAGCAGAATTTGCCCACATCATGAGCATTGTGGACCCCAACCACCTGGGGGTAGTGACGTTCCAGGCCTTCATCGACTTCATGTACCGTGAGACAGCCGATACAGATACAGCAGACCAAGTCATGGCTTCCTTCAAGATCCTGGCTGGGGACAAGATGGGTGTCCTATGGCACGGGCACTGTGCTGGGGTGGCAGGCACAGGCTGGACTGTGATCTTGCACCTCCGCCGTCGCCCATCTCCTGCCTTTGTTCGGTTTCAGCCCCCAGCCTCCACCGTGGTGAGCTGGGGCTAAGAGGCTAGGAGGGTAGGAGGAGGCTAGGAGTTGTTAGCCTCATGCTAGGAGGCTAACAACTTTCAACTTTATGTATTTTATCTAGATTTTTAAAATAAAATAATGATTTAATATATGTGGGATAATACATTACTACATTATATGTAGTACATTTGCATACTACAGAGTTATTTCTAAGTACTAAGCAGTGAAACAAACAAAAATGTGAGTGTTCTTAGTAATATTTGATGTTTTAACAAACAATTTGAGCAAGAATCTCTAATTTTTTAAAAATAAGCTTGGAGTCATTTCTTGGGAAACTAAATGTAAGATTCACTGTAGCTGTCTTCTCTTTTTGGGAGGAAAGAGATAAAGTTACTTTTATGTATTTATCAATTTTCCCAAGTTGAAACACAAATCATCATAGGACATGCAGTGACTTTCAGACCCTGACTTCTCTGCCTTGGGTTTAATCTAAAGCTATCAAGTTTTGGAGAGTCTTCTAAGTATTTTATTTTTATTCATTTTATTTATGTTTCTTTTATGGCCTAACAGAAATACGAATAACCAGTTAGTATTTTTAGGAAGTAAGCTAGCATATTAATGAATGATTTGTAATCTCAAGGTAGTTTATTAATTTGTTCTAGCATAGTGATGACAGGAATTACTGTGACTTTAGAAAAGAAAGTGAGTTTGAGCTTTAGAGTCTGTTTTCTTGTTTTCTTAACTTCTGGTACTTTATCTGAAGTGGAATCTCTGACTCTCTTGTCTTTCCGATAAAGCTTAGATTGCTTTGTGTGATTGTCTTCTCTCTTTTTTCTTTTTGCATTTTTTCCCTAGGAATTTGTATTCCAATTGCAAACCTTCTTTGATGTCTGGTTTCAGGAAGTAATTGTACACAGTATCTAATTCTGTGTCTGTGTATGTGTGTCAAAGGGACAATATGAAGAGCCAGAGGGCTATTTCTGTCGTGAACATAAAGGTTCTAGACCAAATACTAAATCAAGAGTTTCACAAAACACTCACACTGGGCATTCCGTTTGTGCTGTTGGAGTCATAGCATGATAAACAGAATGGTAGCCCATCCAAATGATGGGAGCATATTTAAAATCTTTGGTCAAATGCAATTTCTGATTTGCTATAATTTGGGGTTGATATGTGTTAATAAAATATTTTTGGTTGAAATCCTTAGTAACCAATTGATAATGCCCTTTGTAAATTGGATTATTGCAACATCTCTGTAGTTATCAAAACCAATACTGCCCCATCTGTATCGTTCCATTAATTTGATGGTAAGTATTACAAAGACTGCCTTTTGAGGACAAGTTTGAAGAACAAGTGTAAACAGTTCTTTAATTGTACTTGTGTTTTTTTTTTAATTGTAAAAATGAAGCACAGTGATTCTATGATACATGAAAGAATGTCAATTTTACCTGCAGCATTCTTTTTTTTTTTTTTTTTTTTTTTTTTTTTTTAAGACGGAGTTTCACTCTTGTTACCCAGGCTGGACTGCAACGACGCTATCTCGGCTCACTGCAACCTCCGCCTCCTGGGTTTAGGCAATTCTCCTGCCTCAGCCTCCTGAGTAGCTGGGATTACAGGCACGCACCACCATGCCCAGCTGATTTTTTGTATTTTTAGTAGAGACAGGGTTTCACCATGTTGACCAGGATGGTCTCGATCTCTTGACCTCGTGATCCACTCGCCTCGGCCTCCCAAAGTGACCTGCAGCATTCTTGAATAGGTAGCTGGTGCCAAATTTCAGTAGCATCCTCAAGAGGGCACTGTCACCTATTTTATATACTGTATAATTTATCCTTTTATTAAGACCCTATGCAATACTTAAAGAGTTATTATAATCTATTTTTATCTGAAATGCAATCATGCAGTCTTTGTATCTTCACAAACCTGCTATCTACAGCAACATCCCCCTGTCCATTATTACAGACCATGGGTTGACTTGTATATCAGTATACAAGTTTTGTATCAGTAACATTTTGTAGATTGATCCACCTAGGCTAAATAGTCCAGTCTAGGCCTGTTTAATAAGGATCCTTCAAAACTGCCCCCCTTAACATTAATTTTTCCCCTTTTCATTAAAATATACTTTATGTAAGTTATCTTACTTTTCACCATATTTATACACATACCATCCTTGACTCTGGAGTCAGATTTCTTAGGTTTAAAGTACTAGCTCCATCAGTTAGACTATGTGATATGGACCAATGACTTCTCTTCTTGGGTTATTGTGAGGATTATATGAGTTATATTTGTACAATATTAAGCTAATTGCACAAATGTAATATACTTTGAAAGTTCTCTATTGTATTTGCCATGATTCAAGTAATCAGGCTTACTGTTTATGAAATTTAGTTGAACTTTAATGATTGAAGTTTTTTTTTTCGAAATATAAAGGATGCTTTTTATTTCTCAGACATAGAGTTTAAAAATCTCAATTTTTGAAAGCATTTCCAAAAGTATACACACACATGCAAGTATAGTTTTGTAGAAATTCTCTTCTAAGTGACTTAGATTTAATTATTCCAAGAGGCAGAATCTATTGAGTTAAATATTCCAAAGCATAACAAATTAAACATTTTGAAATAAATTTTTTTTGTTGAAATGGTACTTACATCCATCATATTAAAGGATTAGAGTTTTTTTGCAAATATCACTTGAAAGGAAAAATCAGTTCTAATTTTCTGTTTTGCACTGTATATTCATATAAATGTATATACTGTATATACATATGAATCCAACATAAAAATTTATAAGCGCTAAGGGGAATCATTTATTTAATAATGATTATAAAGAGATAAATGAGAATGAAAGGACCCAGTTTCTACTATAACATTCTGTATATAACAGTGCTTAATTGTATATGATTTTGATAGATTTGGGTAGTTAAGTTTTGGTGTTCTCAAGTTAACTAAAACACACATTTTTTGTTTGTTTTTTAAATAGGCTCAATTTCCAAGTAGTTGAAACTTTCCTTTTTCTCTGATTACACTAATACTACATAACAGCAGTTTTAAATTCAGATTACATGGGCTCAAAATCTTCTTACAGACTAAACTCATGAATAACTTCTTGTGGATTTCTCCTCAGCTGCTGTTAAAGGCAAAGGTTCAAATACAAATTTCCCCCACGTGTATACACTAACGCATAGCATGATTGCCAATTCGTAAGCTTCAAAGTGCAAACCAGTGGTCTCAAAACTTGGTCATCATTCCATCTTTTTTTTAAATTCAGAAATTACAAACATTGAGCCATGTACAGCTGCATCTTTTGGATAAATGCTCACTGTCATAGAAGCCACCATCCCTGCCTTTCCCTGATTATCTAATTTCTATTCACTCCATAGGAGTCACACAATTGTGATTTTTCCCTTCTCAAAATTTACTTCTCAAAATGCACTCATTTGTGTCATAAGAGAAATACAGTCGGGGCAAAGAGGGAGACTACTCAATTAACTTTTTGATTGATTGCTTGGCTGATTGATTTCAGAGCTTTCTTTATGAGTTTCCTATTTCTACATTTTGAAACTGGTGTTACTTTGTCCAGCATGTCTTATTTAATTAGCTCACTCTCATAATTGTAAAGATAAATATAGCTGATGACTTTACCTATATTTTATTCATCTTGATCATTTTCTTCCTTGAGGCTGCTATTTATTTCTGCCCTCATAACTGACTTGAGAGACATGGTTTTAAAAAGTTGTAAGTGCCCATTTGATAGGAAATTTGTTCGGTTTATTCTGTAGTGACTTCTTAAATGAATATTTTTAAATGTCCACATGCATAGATGACTTGTGGTGTGGCTTATTTATACATTTTAAACCACAATAAATTTTACCTAATGGTTGCATAGTAATTATATTCCTCAAAACTTTAATTAAGCAATTGTCTGTATGAGTATTTGCTAGATTATAAGTTCCATGAAGAAAGGGACCTTTTCTTCCCCTTTCACATAATTGTATCTCTACTATGTAAAGATTGGTACAGTAAACTTTTTTCAGAAAATATATAAAATAAAGTCATTATTAATTACTAAATACTGTTAAATGACTGAAAAAAGAGTATCTCAGGAATTTTGAAGGCTAAAATATTAATGGGAGATATTTCTGGATTTCTTAATTATGGCTATACTCAGTCCTAAGACAAGAAGCTATATATTTATCAAATCCAAAAATATATTAATAATCAGGGTATCACAGTTTTGGGTAAAATTGAGTAATTCTGTTTTCAATAAAGATTACATCTCACAAAGGCATGTAAATATTGACACTTTCTAATCCATGGTAATATAATTATTTTTAGTCTTCAGGCTTGATGCCAGTTAGAATCTTTCCATGTCAGTAGAATTCAAGACTAATTTGGTATGATTAAGAAAGAATTACTTTGCAGGCTTCCTATTCATTTATGCAAGGACAGACCTATTAATTCCAACTCACTGATTTTATATGGGATGCCCACAAAAGTCCTTGGAAGCCTCAAGCTTTTACTACAAATAGTTGATTTTTTCATATGCCAGATACTCAGCTTTTCAGGAGAAAGCATCCCACTAGTACTATCAAAAAGAGAAATAAAAAAGGCAAAGCTTAATTCTGTAAGTAAGGTTGCTTTGTCACTCAACAAAGAAAATCCACTAAACCTAGTGTAGTGTAAGCTCTTCTTCCAAACAATCTAGAGAGAACGTTATATCAAAATGTTGTCCAACAGAGCTCCGCAACATAAAGGGACAAATTACCCTTTGAGAATGAAGGTACAGTGAGGATAAAGACAAGTATGATGACATGTATAATTCAACTGTAAACCAGAAACAGAAAAACAAGCTATGGTTATCATTTACAAGTAAATATTTTTTTTTTTTTTTTTGAGACGGAGTTTTGCTCTTGTTACCCAGGCTGGAGTGCAATGGCGCGATCTCGGCTCACCGCAACCTCCGCCTCCTGGGTTCAGGCAATTCTCCTGCCTCAGCCTCCCGAGTAGCTGGGACTACAGGTGTGCGCCACCATGCCCAGCTAATTTTTGTATTTTTAGTAGAGACGGGGTTTCACCATGTTGACCGGGATGGTCTCGATCTCTTGACCTCGTGATCCACCTGCCTCGGCCTCCCAAAGTGCTGGGATTACAGGCTTGAGCCACCGCGCCCAGCCTACAAGTAAATTTTTATATTGTCTTCTCGAAAGGGGCTTCAACGCAGGCAAGCAAAAATGAGAATAGAGTAACTGTGAGCATTATGGGTAAGTACAATCCATTTCTTCAAAGTCACTATTAGTGTGGGATTTAGCAGTTCAGTGATAAGAGGTATAGGCCCCAGTTAGGAGGAACCAGGCATGGATATGCAAGCATGGCACAGACCATGAAGGGGGTAGCCAGGGAAGTAACGCAAGAAATAAGCTATGTTTTTTTGTTTTTTTGTTTTTTCTTGCTAGTAACAGGGATTGGGCTTAAATTGTTCATACTGATTGTGCCTGTTAACTGCATTGTAAGTGACAGAAAACTTGACTCAAATTAGGTTTAAGTACAGAGGAGTTCATCAGATCAGGTATCTGAAAAGTTTGGAATTTGATCTGGCATGGCTGGATGCTGGGTCAGATGCAGTCATCAGGGCCATGTTTGACTCTCTTCATTTCTTTGTCTCTCTTTTCATTCTCAGACAGGATATCTTTCTGTGATTAAAATACAGTGCCTGATAGCCATTCTAGCATAGTCTCATGTTCTCCAGTGGGGTCCCATGGAAACACTTGAGCCAATCAGTTCCATGAAGGATAAGATAGTCTGATTGGCTTAGGCCCAAATCAAATGTCTACCCTAGGCTTAGGGATGGGGTTAGCTCTGCAGACACATCATAGGCTAGAAGCTGAAAGGGGCAGTTTTCCAAAGCAAAATAGTATATTCACACTAAAAATAGGGGAAGTGAATTCTGAGTGGCAGAAACCCAAATGTCTACTTTATTGGTCAATAAATCAATAATTACAGTGAGGGCACATTTCTCTGGCTGTGACACGAGGTACAGGACTCAGCACTTCCTTTTAAAGTTCCCCATGCTCAGTTTATACTTTGGCTTCATGAATATGCTTCATCAAGAAGCAGACAAACAAGAGTGACCTCAGGCAGGCTTTCGCCAAACACTGGGTTTGTGTCAGATTCATTGCACATCATTTTCAAGAAACAACTTTTAAAAACATCCTGATTTTGGCATTGGGTGTTAATTCTGTTACCATTTTACTCTCTTAGGTAGACCACAATATTATTATTTGTTATACTGACAATATGCAGGTGGGGGTGAGCCTAGAAAATAAATTTTATGTGACATACTAATTTTACTGACAATTACATTAGCTCAGAAATAAAATAATGGGAAAAATCAAACTATATATACTCAGAGTGCAGGGACAGTGCTCTGCTCAGAGGCCTTTTGGTTGCAAATGGTATCTTCAAAACATGATCCGTGTTTTATTGTGGATGCCCTTGTGCAAGTACTGATTAGGCCTATGGACGTTAATGACAATAATGTGATATAAAAAGATTTTATTGTAAGCCCCTCATATTTTACTGAAATGATATTTATACTAAAAAGGGATGTGAAAATTTATCTTGCCACTTCTAAGAAGCACATCTTTATAATTAAATGACCTCTCCTTCTACACTCACTGGACAAAAATTGGTATAAATAAGCAGCTAACATTTGTAGGATACTTTAGAATGCACAGAACAAGTTCAAATACTTTCCTCAAAAATCCTGTGAATTCATTCATTTATTCTGTATCTTAAAGATTGAAAATGGGCCTGAACAGATTTCCACGGGT